AAAAAAAAAACACAACGGCTACTTTGCATGAATAAGGTTTGAAGAAATAAGGGTAATCCTGTACATACCTGATAATCTCTGTTGGAAAAGAGACTCGCTGATGCCGATTCCGAAAATACGCTGTCATGTGATTGAGAGAGTGGATCGTGACTGTAGTCGCTGAAACAGAATATCATACATTCTTTTATTAGTTGCATTACCAGGGTAAATATTTATGTATATGGGGTGAAGAATAAAGATTTTCAAAAAATATTACCTTACCCTAACCGCCAAAAGGACGTAGCGTTGTTTTTTTTTTTAATAGGGGTATTCACGATCCGGTGCATACTGTCTAGCATGGTGCATATACAGCATGATTAGCTAATTTTGTTGTTGTTTGAACACTTGAAACAACATCGATCATGCTATTTATGCTATATATGCACCATGCTAGACCATATGCACCGGATCGTGAATACCCCTATTGTATTTTCGATGCATCTATGCATAAACTTTTCCAAACTATTTAAGATATTGGAAAACACTTTTACATTTTTAAGCTATGTGCGACAATTACCTCTAAATAGATAGTAAGTTTCCTCAATACACATCAGAAGGCCCTATGTAATCTGTATGGTATCTATAAATGACGTTGTATGGAAGATGATAGAAACATTGCAAGGTAAAACCATATTTTTATTGTGGCATTCACCACTGGACATAGTCATGTATAACTACGGTGACCATTCGTACCGACTTTGTCGGGACAGAACCGATTTGAGAAAATTGTCCCGCTGAATATTTTTTAAAAGTCGGACGTATAAGTGTCCCCATTTTTCATATTTGTATCGGTTAGGCCCCGATTTTCAGTATTCGTTTTTTTATTCATTTATTAAGTCTCTCCCTGTACTCTAGCTCAAAAACAAGTTTCCGAACAAACGAGGCAGCACTTTCGTTACCACAAAGGGCATAGAATAAATATAAGTGAGCCATAAACACAACCAGCATTCTTATTAATAATATATAAATATAATTAATGAAATTAAAAAAAACATAAGCTGTAGATAGAGCGGCGAAAATATAAATAGGGAAGACACATTTTAGCTTTCTTTGGCTATTCCCCCTTCGATTATTTAATTTTTATAACTTTTTATGAAAGTGTGGCTCGTTATCTAACAAAGAACATGTAAGTCAGAATTTGAAAATTTGTACAACTATTTTCTAGGGAGTAAAAACACTCATATTTCAAAATAGTTCTCTTTTTTATAAAGCAATCGCATTTCTGGCTAGTATATTTCAGTATTTCAGGACGAATGGATAAGGATTGAGCCAAGAGCTTGTGTGAGTCTCTGTTTCTCTTCAGAAGACTTCCAGTAATAATACCAATTACATTTATGGGGTTCTTATGAGACCTATAAAAAATAGTTAAGTTAGTTGGTTGAATAAGGAAAATGAATTAGCAACAAGAGTTTACGGGGTGTACATAGCTCAGTGGTTAAAGCTTCTGACTTTGCACATCGATTTAGCAGGTTCGATCCGTGCTGAAATGTAGGAAAAATAAGTCTGATGTGGAGATGCGGTGATTTTCGAAATAGCTGCTATAACTTCTACCGCTTAGACTTTGTTGCTTTTTAAATTTTTCCTAATAAATAATCTTGGTGCAAAGCTCAATACAAAAAAAGAAATAAAAATACAAAAAAAATAGTATAAACAATTTTTTAAATTAACAACTGGGTATTGTTAATGGAAGTCTCTTGAAGAGAAACAAAGTTTTCCGATCGCAAAATATTGATTTTCAAGAATTCTATACCATTTGTACGAAAAATTGTTTTCCAATATAAACTTTGAGCCCTTTGAGCGACCTCTAAGTATAATTGATTTCAAAATAAACAAGTCAAAAAGTCTAAGTTCGGGCGGAGCCGAACATTAAATACCCGGCGCAAGTATTTAATATATGACTTTCACCTTTCCGAAACCTACCGCTAGACGGTTAGCCGGGGTGTATTAATTTTGAGTAAAGTAGCTTCCTTAAATTTCGAAATATTGCAGTTTCAAGCATTTCTGAAATTTACCGTTATATGAAAAGCGGCCGTAATTTTAGTCCGATTTCAATGATTTTCAACGTTTTGCTTTTATGTGGCAAGCACAATAACCATACCGAGTTTGGTACCATTTTCCAAAATTTTACCATAAACGTATTTCTTGGTAAAGAATTGTTGCAAGAATCAATTTTGAATAAATTAGCTTTAATATTTACTGATTTATCGAAGATTTCGTATTTCTCTAAATTACCGTTATATGGGATGTGGGCGTAGTTATTGTCCGATTTTTTTAATTTTCGGCCATTTAGTATGCTGTACCAAGGCTAACAACTGTGCCAAGTTTGGAAGAAATTGGTGCAGCGGTTACCAAGCTATACACATGTAACCATAAGTGGGCGTGGCTACGCCCATTTTACAAAAATTTATAATATTCTTATTTTTAGTGTAAAAATTATTGTAAATATTAATTTTGAGTAAATTATCTTCAGTAGTTACTAAAATATCGCAGTTTTCGTATTTCTGGAAATTACCGTTATATGGGAAGTGGGCGTGGTTACAGTCAACAAAATTAATATACCCTTGTGCACAAGTGCGCTAGGGTATAAAAAGGGGTATAGAGTATATTTCGGTCTAGAGTATAATTTTTTTTCGATACGCACGTTCTTTTTATGCCACATAAAGCTCTTTTGGGTGTCTACATTCGTCGGACATGTTGAGGAAAAGAACCAGGTACCCATGAGTAATGACGTATTGGTGAAACTTCGTAAGAGAGAGTGCATTTGCCGGAGATCTTTTGTTCCAATATCCGATGTTCACGGAAAGCAGCAAACGAATGTGGAATGTATTGAGCTTGTAAAGATATTAGGGGGAAGAATAAATTCCCATCGAACGAAAAATTATCGTTTAGAAAAAAGACAGAACGGGAACGCTGGGAAGTCAGACTCGATTTACTGACTGCAGGTACTCTCGACTTGTAAAGAAAAAATTAAATTAAATCCCATTTAATAAGACACTAGAAAATCCCATAAAGTCTTAAAAAAAGTTAATGTAACGCTGAAATTAGTTCCCAAAATCAAAGATTTATTCAAACACTGAAACCATGACAACTTAAAAGAGTTTAATACTGTAGTAGCATTGTATAGACTAGCCTAAGTAATAGATTAATAAATCATGTAAATCATTGTAATAGTGTAGTAGTCTCCTTAGCATATTTTTAGTACACGAAAAGTGTAACTAGGCCTTAAGGCATAGTTTTAAACTACCATCTTGTGAAAAGAAAAGAATAAAAGAAGTCATCCCGATTTTAGCAGCGAAAAGGAGAAGGTGTTTTATTTAGAACCCGGCTACCACTCGATTACTTTAAACTTGCGTATTTCAATACATATATTATTTTTTTAACAACAACAAATAGTCTTCGATATTTCTAAACTGTCCGCTTTTATTTCTGCTTAAGTTTTTCTAAAGCTGAATTGAGTTACGTTATCGCCTCACATTCATCGGAAAATCAATGGAAAGTAATTAGAAAAGATGTAGAAAGAAAGAGGGAATGGATAAAAATAAATTTCCAACAGCTGAGTCACGTGCTCCAAATCGATTTCCATATGTTGCCGGTACGGTAAATCGCAAAGAGAATCTGCAAACAAGCCGCTATGCGGTAACAACAAACGAAAGCAATGCAAAGCATGTACGAGTGAATTTGTATGAACTTATTTACAAGCAAATGTACGATTGCATGTGAGTCTAAGTGAAACCGTTACGCCGGCACCGGAAATCAGTTGTACGGCTTCCGAAAGCAGCAGCAGTGACACAGAGAGCTTCGAACAGCTATGTACTTATTGGGACAAAAAGGCTTTGGCAATCGTAACAAAAACATTCGTCACATAAACGTGTTTGCGAATATGTAAATTTTTGTAATGTTACCCAACAAATGATAAACGGCAAGAAAGAAAAAAAAATAGCGGCACATTTGACCACTGCGTGTAACGAGCGTGACTTGCCAATTAATTGAATAAACATACACAAAAAAACACCACGTGTGAATATAAACAAAGGTACATAATTGTTTGCATATTTATCACCCACCTGTCCACAAGACGTCCCTCGCTGAGACTGCGCTGACTGTCGGTCATCTCATTGCTGACGCATCCGTTTGTTCGGTCACGACCCGCACTGCCACTGCCGCTACCGCTAACTGTGTTGTTCACGCTGGCCGTGCCGGTGGCGCTGCCACTATCATTGCCGCTGCTGTCGAGCTCCTGTGACGAATCACCAACACTGCGTAACTTCTGACGCTCAGCGTAGAAGCTGCGATTCATGGCGCTCGGCAGAACGGCCACGCCCAGCGACTGTCGCACTGAGAGTGGCGGCTGGAAGAGTACGCCGCCACTGCTGCCCACCTGCTGATGTTGGTGATGATGGTACATCGACGATGTTGTTGTATACATTTCACTGTCGTGCGCGGTTTCCTCCAACTGCTGTTGCAACTGTTGTTGCAATTGTTGCTGTTTCGATTGTTGTTGCTTGTGTTTGCCTCCTAACACCGCAGCCAATAATGCATCTCTGTGCGGTGACTTTGCTGCGTGGCCACTACTTGCAGCAGCACCACCACCACCGCTCGAGTAGGACTTGGATTTGGGCAACGATTGCGATGAGTAGGCGTCTTGCAGCTGTTGGTGGGTTAGCGGAGATGACGGCGATGAAGCCGAGACCACCGACGATATGGAAGAGAGTGTGACGCTGCGCAGATTCTTTTCACTGGTACTACTGGTGGGCGGCGGTAAGGTGTTGGCGCTCGGTGGTGTATCAGCGACGCTGGTAATGGTGCGACGACGGAAAATGCGACGGAGATTGCGCAGCGGATGGAAGCGGCGACGTTTCGGTTCTGCAATTAAGAGTAAATTGAGTGAAAATGATTAGATATGAATTTCTACCTTTTTTTGGATTTTTTTCTTTTAAAAGGGACAAATAAACTGCGAATTTTAATTAAACTATGAATCTATTCTGTTATTTCGAAGTTTTCAAATGAAATGCAAAACAATAATAAAGAAAATATAAAATCAAGAAAAATTTCGAAATAAATACAAAGAATCCATCCCAATTGGAAATATTTTTTACTGAAACCATTTAACCTGAACTTAAAAAAATTTTAATGAAAAAAATTTATAAACTTAAATACAAAATTTAAATATAGAATAAGAATTAACAAAAAATTTAGTGATACGATTAATGAAAGAAGATCTTTATATATAAGACACTACCTTAAAATCCCTTAAGTGTATAACAAATAACCTAACATCATCATGCTTTTCTAAAGGAGAGCGTATTTATTAATTATTGATTATTATTATTATTGATTTAAGAAATTTTACTAAAAGAAATTTCTTTTCCATTTCTTGTGCATCGTATATATATCGAGGGTTTATATTCAATACCCTCTATCTGCAATTTTCACAAAAACTACTTTGTGATGTTAGAACCCATCTAGGACTTACCTTTCATCACTTCTGTTGATTCTGGCTTTGCAATTTAATAGCAAACTCTTCTGTCAAGTGTTAGACAAAGTCTGCATTAATATCACCGATGACAGTTACTTAAGTCATAAGTAAATTTTTGTATCAGAATCTCATGTTTGTCAAAAGTGCAGATGGAGGGTCTTGAATTAAGCCCTCGATTTATAATACGCGAATGAATTTTTTGTCCAGGACAAAATATCTGCACCGTTCGCTCTATTTTCAAAAATGGAGTGTCAAATTAAAGCGCTTAGCCTGTAGATGTGCAAACTGGTTATATTGCTTCTAAAAGAGCTGCCACCTGTTGAACAATTCAATTCCTAACATTTAATATTTAATGCCCTCATATCCGCACCGTTCGTTCGATTTTCCAAAATCAGGTGTCAAATTAAAAAGTATAACTTTTTTGAAAAGAGCTGCCACCTTTTAAAAAATTATGTTTAAATTATAAAAAAAAAAATTATAAATCAATTATTACGAGTCGGGTATCAATCTAAATGGTTTTGAAAAGCTTTGTTACTTAACCTAGCTATAAGGGGGTTGCCACCTGTTTATGAATCAAATTCAATTTGAATTAAGGGAATTGGGTAAGAGGCATACATATGTATCACGATATGGGTGCCAAACAAAAGGGGTTTCAAAAGGAAGTTTGAAAATACTGTGAAGAGGGTTGCCACATGCTAGAATTGTCGAATTTAGTTAACTCAATGAAATAATGTTAAGAAATACTTAAAAATATTTTTGAGGTGTTGGAAGAGGGTTGCCACCTGTTTAAAACGTGAAAGTCAAATTATTTACTAAGTTGAATGAATTATTAAAATATGGGTGTCAATCGCAGGGGGGAGGGGGGGCGGGCGGGGAGTTTAAAAATCTTAATTTCTGAACTCTATTTATTCAACTTAATTCACCAGTTAAATAAGCTACTAAAAAACAGCATGAAACCACTTTTGAAGAGGGTTACCACCTAGTTTTATTAGTTTTATGTTAATTTGTGACTTATGAGTCGATACATATCAAACCTGCCTAAGTCCACCATAAGAAATTTGGGGAAATTTTACTTCAAAACTAAGTCCATATGGAATTTGTAAAACTTTCTTAAGTCCAACTGTACAAGAAATCACCGCATATGGCAATCCTGTTGGAAGCCGACCAGTTTGACGTTTTCTTTCTTGCATGTTTGTGGCTACTTTTACACAGAGTTCAGCAACTAGCGCGCACAGGGGCTCGGCCCTACGCTAAATATATAATTTTCTACAAATAAAGTGTGCAATAAACTGTTTAGTATAACAATCAATAAAGACAAATGAAATCGATCTCTGTTTAGTCTTGCTATTTAACGCCAACATAAAGACTTATTTATTTTGAAAATGGCTTAAGTTTCCATGGTTTCCGTTTGTAAAAGTAACTTGAAATAGATAGCTAGAAAAGAAAGAACCGCGATTTTCCAAAATTATCTTATGATTGACTTAGGCAGGTTTGGTAATTTAGACTTAACCTTTTCAGAATTAAACTTTATAAAGGTGAAGATATGCATGTTAGTTGTACATCATTCCGTTTGTTTGGAGCACAATTTTAAGACAAACTTTAATGGCAAAAAAGAAAAACATTAAAAAAGAGAAAGTAATGATAAAAATAAAAGGACATTACGTTTTTAGTGAGATGGAAAATTAAATGGATAAATTCTAAGAAGCACTGCAAAGCAAAAAATTGTATAGATAAAGAGTTATGTTGCAGTAAAAGTGCAAACGTCGGTGTGTGAGCGACACGTGCAGCGTGGCTCGCGCGAAAATAGGTTAACGCCTCAAATGAGTCTAATGAACCATAAAAAACGCCCATAATAAATTTCACACAGGTAACACATACGCAGTGGTGCACACACTCGCATACCTTCAAAGGGGTATGGAGTTTTAATGATGCATCCTACAAAAAAAAACATAAACTTATTTGTGTGTGTTATGCGTAACTCGCTGTGTCTGTAAGCAATTATGGGCCATAAATATGTATGTACATACATATTTACACATATATTTGTTATTAGGATTGCGGCATAACACCTGCTTACCATTTTATGTCCAATTCCGGTGCAGTGTATAAAATACACTGAGGGAAATAATGCATAGTAAACGTGAATACTTTATATTTGATTATCGTTTAAAAATGTTCGTATCTAAAAATAATATTTTCATACAAAAATGTAGTATGCACGTATTTGACTGTTCATATCTTAGTATGCATATGTAAGTGCACATACGCATCCCCAGCGTGCAAAGCGGTTACATGTTTATCAGTACAAATCGCGTGCTGTGGTGTTGATGGAAATTAACATTTGAAAGCACATATATGTATATGTCTGGCTGTAGCTGAGTATGCAAAGTTGCTTGCCACAATTTGTTGATATCCAGAGAGGGTCTGGGTTCGAATTTCACTGCAGGCAACATGCAAATTAAATATTTCTTTTGTAGATTTTGTCTTGATTATTTAATTCACGGATGCTTTTTCCGAACGAACGCGGTTTTCCAATACGAGAACTTAAAATAAGATTAAATACATTTTTTTAGTATTTTTTTAGTTGTTTAAAAATCTAAATCGTTATACAGCCTATACAGTTAATCTACTGTTTAATGATTACCTCAGAAATTCATAGAATAATATTGTATTTTAAATCTGAAATTTATTCTGTGTAGTGAACCAAAGTTCTGAATATGTAGGATGAAATCTAGTAGCTTTTGGTTTAAGGAAATGAAAGAAAGTCAATGACGACAAGAAGAAGTATCTCCTGTCATCAAGCAAACAGTCAGCGCATTCGCGCCTTGGTAGCCATGTCCTTGTTGACAGTTATGGTTTCAGAAATTATAGAATTCTCTTTACTTTGGAACACACATTAACTCCGACAATAATGTCAGCATTCTATGCTTCTATGGACTGAGTAGGCATTTAAGGAGTAAAGTCCTCTCTTGACGTACGAAAACCACACTCTATAAGTCACTCATCATGCCCGTGCTGTTATATGGCACAGAAGCTTGGACAATAACAACATTGGCGACGGCGAGTACCGCAGACGATGGGTCGTAGAGCTTTACAACGCAACGAATTAAAAACAGCGGTTCCGCTGGCTCGTCCATGTCGTTCGAATGGTCACCGATGCTCCAGCTCTAAAAACATTCAACTCGAAAACCGCTGTTGGTAGCAGAGGAAGAGAAAGGCTCCCTTTGCGATGGAAAGACCAAGCGGAAAAGGACTTGGTTTCACCTTGGCTTCAGTTGGCACAGAAAAGAAACTACTGGCGCGCTTTGTTTAACTCGGCCAAAATCGCTTAGGTGGTTACAGTCCCAAATAAGAAGAAGAAAAAACTATAAAATAACAAACTTAATGGAGTTTTTTTTGATGATCCGCAGGGTTTATTTTCATTTGACATTTTCTGTACAGACATATGAGTTCATGTCTTTTGGCTTCAGTCATCATTTCCCTCTATCTGCACTTGTCTGTTGTTCGTTCAACTTCGTCCGACAAAGTTTAACTGTTTTTCCATTTGCCTATTTCCGTTGAACGATTTACAGATGCATCCAGTCAGAAGTAACCAACCATGTAAGCTCAAGAGGTTGAAACGACATTTGTATGTCACTTTAAAAATAAACGGCTTAAATAAGTGCGTATGTATTTTCTTAGATTCTGACAGTTTTATGTTACTGAAGACGAAAAGCTGTTTGGTGGATTTTGTATTAAGAATAGATTAATTACAAGTTAAAAATAAATAAATAATAATTAATAAAAAGCTTTAATTTATGCAGTGAAGGTATTCAATAAAAATTTGTTAAAATTTTAAACTTTGCAAAGGTAAATAAAAATCAATATTTCCCAATTTAACACCTTTCACTTATTGGACCATTTAACTACGCAATCGTGCAAAAATTTCCACATTTATTACTATTTTCTTTGTTATCTTACTTCGTTCATTATCAACAATAAATGTATCACAAAACACACTCGTCAGTCTGGTTGCGCATATACGCGTTTCAGGAACAAATATTTCTTATTTCGTCTTTTTTTTAACGACAATAACAATTAGTAGCAAAATCATTATCGACAATGTGCACGAAAGTATTACCTTATTTAGACATGTCGTGAGGCGTTCAAAGTCGTTCAATAGGTGAGAAAAAAACCAAAGTATACGAGTAGTAAGTAACACCTATGTAGACGCCTCGGAGTGATGGTGTGCGAGTAACGGCCGATAAGCAAAAGTAAAAAGTACTGTTGTGACCTTGTGCTAATATCTGGACACGGCGTTATTAAAATTTACCACCACACATACATAAAAAATGTATAATCAGAGAACGTTGAATATGTATGTATGTATTTGTACTGTCTTTAACCT